AAACCCCTGGAATTTTTCCGGGGTTTGGGCCCCCCCCCGGAGGGGAAAAAACCCCCCAGGCCCCCCCCCCCCCCTTTTCGAAAAAAAAAAAAAAAAATTTTCCCCCGGGGGTTTGGTTCTGGAAAAAAAAAAAATCCCCCCCCTTTTGGGGGGGGGTTTTTGTTAAGGTTTTCCCCCCTAAGGGCCAAAAAAAAAAAAGGGGGCCCCCCCCCCCCCCCCCCCCCCCCCCCCCCCCCCCCCCCCCCCCCCCCCCCCCCCCCCCCCGGGGGGGGGGGGTTAAATTTTTTCCCCCAAAAACCCCAAAAAAAAAAAAGGGTCCCCCCCCCCCCCCCCCCCCCCCCCCCCCCCCCCCTCTGCTAACTGTCTTGTTCGAATCGATTTTCCTGGGGTTTCGACACCACCTGCAGAGGCGGAAGCGACCGCGGGGGGCGGCGGGAAGGCCGATGACGAAGACTTGGACCTTGATGACGACGACTTCGGAGACGAGTGGTAGATTTTCGTAGATTTGCTGCTGCTTCTGCTGCTGCTTCTGCTACAGTCTACAGCATGGATGGATCCCTTGATAGTCGCCCTCCGTCTGCGTAAGACACTACAAGTAGTAACCTTCGCAACATGTTGAACAAAGCATGCAATCGGGGAAGTTGGGTTAGGGTTAGGGTTAGGGATAGGGTCTGCGTACCCCCTTTCTGCCTGTTCTATTTCCTCGTTGCGTTAATTTCTCGCGAAGGCGGTCCGGGCAAGAATCCTGGGTTTCCTTCGAGCAGGGCTCCGGAGGGGGGCCAGGGATGTTGCAGGAGATGGAGGGAAAGAAGAGTGGTGACGACCTATTTCTGTCTCTTTTTGTTTTCGGCCGCTCTGTGTCTTGTCTCTCTCTCTCTCTCTCTCTCTGTCGCATCTTGACAAGCGAGAGCTTTGGCGCGTTGCATATTGCCGTAGTGGCTTCGTGGAGTCTAGTCTTGTTTGCATGCCACCTTTCGTGTCGATTAGGTAAAGGTGTGGTGGTGGTGGTGGGGATAGGTCTCGGATTTTTTTGCATGTCCCGTTGCGTTTGCTGGTTTAGCTCGAGGGACAGGGGAGCTTTTTGCCTATCGCAGCACCAGGGCAGGATATGCATGCGCAACATGGCGTCGCGATCTTCGGCGTCCCTACTAAAACCTGGAATTAATTGCGTTCGGCACGATACGTGGCACCGGTGCCATTGCAGCAGCAGCAGCAGCAGCAGCAATCCGGAGCATCAGTATCGGCAGCTGCAGAAACAGCAGCGCAGAACGGTCACTTGTGATTTGCGGCTTGGGTGAACAAGATCCCGAGGGCTGCTGAAGCGGCAACGACAAACCATTCTGAATCCCCGAAAGCGACTGAATGAAAAAACAGCTAACAGAGCCGGCGTGGACCTTTACCTCTCGATGAAGGGCAAAGACTCGTGTGGGATGATGAAGGTGTTGGTGGTGGTGACAATCCGGGGCGGTTAGGATCTTTGTTGCTGGAGGGGGGGCGGGGGGCATGGACGATCGGGAATTTCAACCGGTGTGTGCGCGCCTGTCTTTGCAGTATCGCAGATAAGTGGCCGGGCTTCCTCTGGCTTTTGATAATTCATATTCTTGTTGATGCATCCGAGCCTCTACCGACCCCATAAGGATGTGTGATGCCGTATGCGGCAAGATACAGAACCCTTTCGATTTCGATTCCCCGCAAAAAGTCGCCATCCATATCCTGACAGAGATGGGATTCGACATTGCCATCCATTCATGGAAAGCGAGTTTGGGGGGTGTCCTCGAGAGTACGCATGCCGTGTTGAGTCGCTAGACCGTTGGCTTCGCATCCCCACGCGTACAATGCTGGGGGGGACGGATCGAAGTATATGTCGGATTTTCGCCGGCCCAAGCTACGTTCGACAACGATGAACCAGAAGCTGGTGATCATCATCCTTGCGTTTGCTGTGCCAAACCGGACATGCCATGGGTTGAGTAGGCATCCCGGCTGTTGGGGGGAGATACCGGCATCCTTATTATTATATATTCTTTTTCTTCTTGTAGTCGCTCTTCACGGTTCATCGTTCGCGGACGTGTTGGTGACGGTCGGTGTCTGACGCGATATGGACCGTTCTTGGCTAGCGTGTGTGCAGTCACTTTCGGCGACCACGACTCTCAGCCTTTTCCAGCGACAGTGACTGGGTGTAGTTGTATTCAGTCGTCTGCATGGAACCATTTGCTTGCTTGATGTGTTCTTTTCGGCTCACCTCCCATACATGGTCTGGGGTCCAACTTGGTCCAACAGCAGAAAATAAAATATTTTCGCGCGAAGCGCGAGAAGAAGCGGCGGAGAGAGACATCAAAGAACGCGTAGATATACATGGTTTGAGCCTACGCCACCACAAAGGTCACCAGTGCACACGCTCACACCTCACCTGACACCAACTTTCAGTCAGGGGATGACTGACAGCTACAGAAGCCGAAATCAAACCATTAGACTAGTCAGCGCTGACTAGTCTATCGGTTTGATTTGTAGGCTTCTATACAGCGCTGTTTCGCTCTCATAATCATCAGCTATACATGTAGCTGCTGCTGCGCAGGATGGGTGTGCACTTGCTTTTTCCTCGCTTTCGCTGTATAGCAGCTGGCAACGGGCTCTAAGAAACGCCCCCGATGCCTCCTACGATGTATGTGTATGTGGCCGCCCTTGGCCTACAGCGCTGTGTACGTCGCACTTGTCTCTGTTTCTGGGGTGCGTCTGTTGTAGAAGCAAAGATCGGCAGGCAGACGAAGAGACCTATAGAAGCCGAAATCAAACCATTAGACTAGTCAGCGAA